AATAGACTATGCTTCCAGCAAAATGCCTGGGAGTGTACCAAGTCTACGATCCGACTCTAGAAATTATCATAGATACTATGAACTCAGAACAAGGTAAGTTCCTCTAGGCTTTCCGGACAATATGAACAAGTTGAGTAGACAAGATCAAACAACGTATGTCAAAAGAAAAGAGACCACGCTAATACTAGAGGCCACAGCATTTTGATCTTCATTCCTAGTATTATGGAACAGTAATTAGACAAATAACGCTATTAAAAATGTGTAATATAAATAGATAAGAATCCTAGCCAACGGGTTTATTTATAAACCCACCGAAACGTGCTATTTTAGAATTGCTAATTTTTCTACATAATCTTCTGTGGAATTCGCCATTGGAATGCGGGTGAAAATCGTAAAGACCATTTGATGGTCTACAATTTCTCGGTTTTGTAGTACTTTTTCCAAATATCTGAATCCATTAACGAGAACTGTGCTGATTCAATCACCTGTAGAAAAACCAGTGTCAATATTTACTCATCTAAAATTTATTTTTTATGAATATAATATTTGTAAATGAAAGAATTCAAAAGTTTTAGAACTGGGGAATTTTCTAATGTAGTCAACCATTTGTCTAAACGTTCATGTCCAATTTGACATTTTTTTAAATGTCTGTAAAAACACAATTAATACAAATAGTACCACGTACGCTGCTCACAAACAGTTTGAATTCTAATGGGCTTTTAGTAACAGGTACTTGGAGGTTACTGAATCAATATGGCCCTCCGAACGCCCAATTTCAGCTTCATTGAAAATGTTTTAAAAACCTACAATCAAAGATTGTAGTGGAAATCTTCATGTGTAAGCATGCTTCACCTCTTATAGAGTTTGTGACTTGCACAGGATTAACTACGCATTGATCAGAGAAAAACAAATTTATTCTGCGGAGGCATGCCACCCTTTCTGGTGTAAAGTTGTGTAGAAGAGGATTTATTTATTAGCCAGTTCTATTTAAAGTCGACAGAATAACAAGGAGTGCCGACTTGCATGACTTTCCATCTACAATCAGCAGACCTCAACCCCATTAACAGCCTTTAGCAGATTCGGAAATACAGAGAATGTGAAACGTAATGTAGCATAACAAGACGCACTCTGGAATAATATGGACTCCCAAAGTCTGCAAAAGCTAGTATAATCGATGCAAGTGGTAATTAAGGCAAAAGGTGGCCATACTAGATATTGAGACGTCTTCATGGTAAGTAAATACAGACTTTTGATGACTCACATATATAATTGAAAAAATATATAAACATAGGTATACAGAAAAATTAGGTTAGGCCGATGGACTCCGATTTTTGACCATATATATATATATATAAGGAGGGTTACACATGAATTTGTAAAGTATTCATAGCTAGGAAGTTATTTTACCAGACCCTGACTAATAAATTGTGAAGTTATGAACGTCTCAAATGAAAAAAAATGCACATATTAGCAAAATAAACCTTTGTGATCCTTTAGAATTAGTATAACTACCCGAATAACTCCTTTAAAATTAAATATATGCGGATTTAATTCATACTGTTACCATAAGTAAATCCTGACTCGTAATAAAATTGTCGTTATAATACCAAATACATTAAAGTAAAAGCGGAAAAAGAAGGTAAAAACACTCTGGAACTATTTGTTCATTTTATATAATATGATCATGGAAAAACAACTAACAGCAGTACTATAATTACTTAGAAAGGTCACATCATTCACCTTGCTCTAACTGATCAAAATTAGAGGATCCAAGATGAGCATTATTCTTTTTCAGAGCTTCCTTGAGATAGCCAGTTTCTTGAATAAGTTGATGCATTTCAAGTCTCAAGAGAGTGTTTTCCTGTACTAGGCGACGAGCTGTCTCCAGACTTTCTTTTGTACCATTTTCAGAAACACATGAAATTTGGGAATCATCTCCACAAGCAACAGAAGGGTCTATCAACTTGGCCCCTTCTCCTTGAGATGCCTTGTGCAAGCATAAGCCAATGGTTAAAAAAGGTAGATCAAATACAGATAAGTGGTAAGCAATAGAGCAAATAGAGCCATTGTAAGCTAAATAATGCTATCAGGATGTGTAGGCGCAAGTTTATATAAAAAAGTATAAGTTTAATATAATTGGTTATATGAAAATCGGCTCACAAATACTCACTAATCTATTTTGGATTTAATATATAAATTAATTATTGGAATCAAGATACAGCATTCTAGGAACACAAAAGTTGCGACGACTATAAATGGATTGTACTTTCTGTGATTTCGCATAAATTATGAGCGAAAACTCGGGTTCAAAAATGAGTGAACAGAAAATTAACACAGATTACAAATAATTTTTACTCGCAGAAGGACATTCATTAGTCATCTGTATAAAAATCTAATTTATAAAATGAAATTACTCAAAGTCCATCAGACATTTAAAAGTTCCGAAAAGAGGTTATCTATGTAGAGATTAAGAAAAAATGGGTTTCGAAGAATCCATCAATAGCTTGAGCTTGAAGTACCTTTCATTTCGTTTGAGGTGGGTAAACGAGATTCGAAATTTACCTTCGCCGTAAGCCGAAGGAGGATTGGCCTGGAGCTGTGACTAGATTTGCGACTCCAAAAAATATTTGCTGAGCCTTCGTCCATTATTTAATAGATATCATCAGTGCAGGACACCATGATTTACGATAATTCATGAGAACACGAGGAAAACTTACGAATCCCTTCCACTTGCTCCTTCAAACGAATGAAAGGTTAAAAAATGATATAACCCTCTTGGTAATACCACAAGGGACTCTTACATGTGTATAGTGGTGTACCAAAGGCAATGAAAAGATAATCATTAAAGAATTTTATCGAAATATAAAAATGAAATTAGGAAAAAGATGATCAACAAAAAAAGATCGAGGTTTCGAAGCCATTAGGGAATGGGATCATACCTTTCGCTTCTTCAGTTCATTATAGAGACGCTCGTTCTCTTTTTGGAAACCATTAATTAGGCTCTCCTGGTTAGCAATAGTGGCTCTCAATTTCTCTAATTCTTCAGAAATGGAGGCCTTAGCATCAATACCTAGTGTTGAATTTTCTGAATCCTTTACTTTATTTCGAAGCCATTCTTCTTTTGAAAGCTGCATCTGCAGATAAAACAAAAGTATATGTGTTGCATATAATGTGCACGCATATAAAAGTAAACCTTATTTCTCATATAAGCTGAAATTAAGCTATATTCGATTAGCTATAGGAACTAGTCAGGACCAAACATCAATAAAATAATATTCTCAATTCTTCTAGGCTTTCCTAAAAATATCTAAGAAATTGGATATAAATAAGTCGGTTATTGAGATTCACTAGTAAAATTTGATCATGTTGTATATTTTAATATAAGTACATAAGTAAGCAGAAGTATTTAGATATCTTTAAAGATCAATGACATATCTAAATGAAAAATATCCGTTAGTCTCAGACAAGTAACTTTTTATAAGGGCACTTAGCGCTCTTTGAATTGCTGCTAGGTTATTCTGATTGTAGGCAGTGTATGAGCTTTCGAATGGAACATCCTAGAAACTGTATAGACTTGTTGCCATTAACGTTTTTAAATGTATATTTGTAATATGAGATGTATTCACTCTATTTCGTTTAAGGTGATGAAGGACTGGTAGTAAAATTTTCCCACAACGATATGAGTAGAGTTGATGTTTCCATTCAATTTCACACAAGTTGTTCTCATCCAGGATGGACTGCAGTTTCGACCTTGCATTGGTCCTATCAACACCCCCAGCGGGAGTCGAACCGTGCAAGTGAGGCATGTAAGCTTAGCGCGTTAGCCCCTCGGCCACATTGCAACTAGTGCCCTTTGGGTCAAGCTCACACGCTGCACTGTCAGGGTTCGACTCCTGCTAGGGGTGTTGAGACCTATGCGAGGTCGAAACTGCAGTCCACTTTGGATGAGAACAACTTTTGTGGAAGCAAGGCTATATTAAATTCAATGGAAACGTCAGCTCTACTCATATGATTGTGTTAAAATTCTACTACCAGTCCTTCATCATCTTACACGAAACAGAGTGAATACATCTCATATTACTGATTTACTGGTAATCATGAAACTCTACTTACATACGATAAATGTATATTTTCATAAATAAATTTAAACCAAGTTCTATCTATACGGAGTAATATTAAAGAACCCCACATTAATCCCCAAAGCTGAGCAGGTTTTCGTGAATTTACTGCATCTAAAACGTTGCAATTGTAGCATTTACTCG